AGTTCTCAGGAATAGTCTAAAGTTTCTATTTCCTATTTTATCCCTCAATTAAATTAATTTTCTATTTCACCACCGCCACCGCCACCACCATCGCCACTGCCGTCGTCTTCGCCACCACCGCTACCACCACTAGCACCGCCACCGCCACCATCGCCATCGTCATCACCGCCACCACCATCACACCAGCACCACTGCCACTAGCACCACCACCGCCACAACCGCCGCCACCGCCCACCACCGCTACCGCCGCCGCCACCAGCAGCACCACCACCGCCCCAACACTGCCACTGCCACCACCACCATCACCACCGCTGCCGCCGCCGCCACCATCGCCACCATCACATATTTTTATAAGGGTATTTATGTCTTTTAAAACATATTTCATTTCTATTCCTTAAATCAACCAAACACTGTAATATAATCCTAAGTCTATTCCTTCCGTGGACCAAACAATAGAATACAATTCCTATTTTATTCCTTGCTTATTCTATTCCTTATGGAATAACATTCTTATTACCTCAAAATTCATTCCGTGAACCAAAGATGCTTTAATAGAATTATACTAAATTGACTATTTTAATTTGTAATGAGAATAGACATTCCCAATGCTACATAATATTGACTATTATCGACCTAATCTGAATAATTTTTTTTATTAATCTTAAAATACTCTTCTAAAACTATTTTAAAGATAATCACACCTCTAATGCAACATCTCTCCACATTGGAATCTGGACAACTCTATTACATCACGTTTGGTTCACAGAATGAATTTTGAGGTAATAGGAATGCTATTCCACGAGGAATGGAATAGGCAGGGAATAGAATATGAATTCTATTCTATTGTTTGGTTCGCGGAAGGAATAGACTTTAGGAATTATATTACAGTGTTTGGTTGGTTTAAGGAATACAATGAAATATATTTCAAAACACATAAATACCCTTATAAAAATATGTGATGGTGTTGGTGTCGGTGGCGGCGGTGGTGGTGGTGGTTGTGGTGGCGGTGGTAGCAGTGGAGGTGGTGGTGGCGGCGGTGGTAGCAGTGCCACCGGTGGTTGTGGTGACGGTGGCGGTGGTGGGGTGGTGGTGGAGACGGCGGCAGTGGCGGCGGTGGTAGGGTATTTTCGGTATTATAGTACTAAAGTTATTCCCAAATACTTGGGAATAGCTAATACCAGGGGGTCCCCTAGGAATGGTTATTCTCCCTGCAAAGGGAATAGCTCATTCCCGGTAATGCTATTACCTTGAATAAAATGACAAAACAAACAATGGAATAGGTCTATTCCCGAGAACGATATTCCATTCCCGACCTATTCCATGAACCAAACACGCCATTATAGTAACATACTGTAATTACAAAAGCGTATAGTAATTCTTTAAAACTTCATCTATTTGTTATATTATATTCCATATATGTGTGTGTGTGTGTTTTTTTTTTGGTGACATAAAATCCATATTTGAATTACTTGTGGAATTTTGTTTGTATTCCATCACAAATATTTATATATTATAACCTACAACTAAATATGTGTTAGTATATAATCAAATTAGTACATTAATTACTAGACTCGACTAATAAATAAGGTTGATGAGCCTAATGGATTTACAAATGGAGCTGATGAAATTTAACGAGAAAGGGAGTCTCACTAAGTAGTGATTATAAAAACAAAAGTAATTAACTAACTTAAATTTTGTTTGTAATGTAAGAAGATTACATTGGAAAGAACACTTGCAACATAACGGTATCTTGAACATATTTCTACAATGGTTTTTAATATTATATTCTTAAAGGTTTTGATTGTTTTTTGTTTAGTAAAGTTAGGAATGAGAATGATATGATGGTTGTAAATGTATAGTGAGTGTACTTATGATTTGATTTGATGTGGCATCGTCCGTACTTGCCCAATGCCCACCCCACTACATAGTAACTATATATGTAGTCTAGTATCTACTATAAGTCTTACCTATTACCTCCCAACTTGTAGCATCATATCTTTGTCGTCCGCGCAAATTCTATATTTGCTTTTCCTTAATTCACTAAATTCATTGCCTATGTATTTAAATCCTACCTTTTTGCATTTGATAAGGTACATTTCTAAAATACCCTTCTATTTTTAAAAGTGATCGAATCTTAAATCGTAAACGCAACTAACTGCATATACATAATATGTTAACTACATATACACAATATGCTGCTTATAGTATAAACATAATTTATTAACTTAATGCACATAATATGTTAACTGTAGGCACATAATATGAATGCCATTTTTTAATAGGGTCCACAATGCAATGTGAATCCAGTCCATGGTATAACTAGATATGGTTGCGATTCGGTTCTGAAAAATGATAAACCGGAACTGGAACTTTTTAGGAATGTTCCGGTTTGAACCTTTTCTTTTTGTGTAAACTCTACTAGCATGAATATTATTTTTTATTTATTTATTTTTTTTTTGGTTCGGAACCGATAGTTCCATTTCCCAATTTTAATAATTTGGAACCGAAACCTTTTGGGTTTCAATTCTGAAACGTAACCGAAATCGTCCATATAGTTCTGATTTCAATTCAGTTGTTACACTGTCCAATTAATTAGAACCTTAGAACCAAACCATGGTCATCCTAGGTATAACAATTGGAAATTAACTGTCTATATATAGAATGTTAGGCCAAATCTTATAAGATTTTAGACTCCATACATTGATTATTCTCTGGGGCAGTGGGGCTTGCAGCTCAAATTAAAGTCATTACAATATTGATACAAGTAGCAAGTAAATTTAGAAGCCTTGCATAATTTGTTGATTTGTTCTAATATTAATAATTTCTTTCTTTGTAAAATTTTTCCTTGATTACACAAAAAAAAAATAATATATATATATATATATATATATATATATATATATATATATATATATATTTAGGGGTCGTTTACTTCATTTCTCTGTTTTTTCATTTCCAATTTTCCATTTCTCCATTTTTCCAGTTTTTCTTCTCCATTTCTCTAGTTTTCCATTTCTCTATTTCTCCAATTTTTCATTTTTCTAATTTTGTGATTTTATTAAATACAATCATCTTATATACCATTTGTATATTTATACAACAAAGATCAATAATAATAATAACAACAACAACAATAATAATAATATTAATAACAACAACAATAATAATAACAATAAGAATTTAATAATAATAATAATAATAATAATAATAATAATATCAATAACAATATAATAATAATAATAATAATAATAATAATAATAATAATAATTTGAATTAGAATTTAATAACAATAATAGTCATCAGGCGTAAGAACCTCAAATAGTAAAAGCATTAGAAGCTTCAGGCGTAAGAAGAAGCGAAAATCTGATGTAAAAGGAAAATAGTCACCAGCAGGATTCGATGCTTGGACCTCAACGCAAGCCTACACTATTCACCCCGTCTATTTCCATTTCTCCATTTGGAGATGTTGGTTTTTCTATTCTCCAAAATGCTTAACAAGATTGGAGAATGGAGATGGAAAAGACATTTGGAAGAAGAAATTTAGTAAACAACTTTTTCATTTTTTATTTTTTCCACTCTTCAATTTCTTTATTTTTTAGAAAATCCTCCATTTTTCCAAGTTGGTAAACAACCCCTTAAGGATTGAGGTGTCTGAAAAAGTGTCACATTTTATAAAAATAGATACAAAAGTTTGATATTGAATTAAAAAATTTTAAAAGTTAGACTCTAAATATAATTGCTCCAATAAGCCTACTACCTATACACTAATATATGAATTTCTTTCTTGTATTTCTGAAAGTACAATATCGTTAGTCCAAAAAGAATGGCGAAGTGTTAAAAAAAAAAAAAAAAATGGCGAAGTGGGTTGAGTAGGATTATACCTTACCCTACCTACTAGACCCAATTAAATAATTATTCCACAACATACTGTTAAGGAGCATGTCATGCCTCACGTTGTTGCTTCGCGCCAAATACGAGATGTGGGTTTCTCTAGGCATTATCTTGTCTAAATAGTAGTTCTTTGTATTGATTTAAGATTATAAAATTTCAATTCAGTGAGAGGATTAATCACTATTTTCGATGGTGGAAATTTTGGGGATACCATAAAAAAAAAATTATGAAATTTAGCAAACTTGCCTATTGTTATGCCATTGTGCACTCTCCTATTGTACTCGACTTCCCCAAACATTTATTGGAGGTATTTGGTAAATAGCTGTTAGTCTAATTGGGTTAATGAGTTTGACTATGTGATAATATTAGTTGATTGTAAAAAAATATTTGTTAAATTAGCTATTTGATAGCTGATAGCTAATTACATGCAAAATGTATTTCTCAAAAAATTATCAAAAAAGTTACTTTAAATAGCTTGTTGAATTTTAGCATTTTGGAACAATAAATTGTTACAAAAAATTAATTAATCAAATACTTATATTAATTGTTAACCAAGTCAAACAGCTAATAGTGGTCAAATAAGTCAAAATTGACTGATAAACTAACTATATTACCAAACAGGACCTTATAATATCACTGTTTCCGATTATACCTCAGTTTGATCTCTCAGCTCACTAATGAAATTGTATTACATTCAGTTTCTAAATAGTCAATTTCCATCTTATGAAGAATTAAATGTGACAGATTTTTAATAAATAAAAATTAAATATAGTCGATTTTGAACTTACAAATTAAAAATGAGAAAGTCAATAATTAAAATTTGAGTTAACTACTATTAGATTTATCAACCATTCCAGCCTTAAGGAGGAGTTTTGGCACACGTCCATGAATGAATTTATAAAAACACCAAAGGATGTGGGCAAAGCCCAAATCACTTCTTGTATAGTAATTAATCATATCATACCATGCCCAAACACATTTTTAAGCTAGCTAAGCCAAATTCATCAAGTATAATCATCAAATCCAAATAGGCAGCTAGGCAGGTTTAATTTGCATCATAGCTGGTTTGCAATCTTGGGAGCAGATAATGATAATGCCCAGCTTCAAATTCAATCAATGTTTTTCTTGGATTGGGAAGCTCTTGAGTTCTGTTTGCAATGAGTAATGGCTGCCTCAATGGAGCTTTCAAAGTCTGATGAGCTGGTTAAACTGAAGCTTCTGGTGTGGAAGTTGAGCTCATAGAAGTCACTTGAGCTGAAAGAAATGGAGGAGGAGGAGGAGGAGGAGAAAGAGGAAGAGGAAACAGCAGATGAAGATGGAGGAGCCCAGCATTTTATCGGGGAACGACGCCGTTTCAATTCTGCTGCTGTTGAGAATGAGAATGAGAATGACCTTCTGTGATTACCCATCACTTTATTATCCTCAATAATCCCCGCTTTGTTCATTTTCTTGATTGGGTGCCTCCACCTTCCCATGCTTGGAAATGGAGTTTTCTTGCCATTTGGGGACTGTTTATGATCAGTCCCAGGTGGGTTATTATAGCCTGCAGCCTTTTCAGAAGAAGAAGAAGCCTCTCTTCTGAACAATGATCTCAGGTAAGCCCTGGGAGCCTTTAGCTTTTTACTGATCAAACATTTCTTGATCAATCTGAGCTTATTGGACCAGAATTTCCCTGGGGGATGCTTGTTGGTGATGAGAGTGGAGCTTTCGAAGAAGGCGCCATTGTTGCTGAGCTCAAAGCTCAGCCTGCAGGGCTTTAATGGAGTATTGGTGGAAGATGCGAAGTCCATGATGATGAAGTCATCTTCCTCAACAGAGGGGTGGAGTGTTTGCAGGGTTGGGGGGAGGAGAAGAGGGAGGAGTTTCCCCTTGTAGAAGAGATCATCTGCTGCTGGGAATATTGCAGTGTGGTGTTCTTCATCACCAAAAACAGGACACATTTGGAACTCAAAGCTTCTGCTTTCTGGGGAAAAAGAGTTGCCCAGTTCTATGTCTATGTACTCATCATCTGCTGCATTAATGCTGTATGGAAGAGGATGATGATGATGATGATGATACTTTCTGTTTCTGGGCATCCTGTTTGATACCAGACCAGCACAAAGCAATGGCCTCTGCATGCAGATCAGATGGTTGAATTGTATTGTGGGAATGATGTATAGCCTAAAGTGTTGTTTAAGGTTTCCTTTCCATTCTCATTTATATAACAACATTGGTCTTCAAAAAAACATGGTTGGTCCAAGGATGATATAAGGTCTGGATTGGATCCCTTGTGTACACATGAAGACTTGGATCTGACTGATGGCTGATTGTCCGACTCGCGATTTACCTCTACAGTGACTCTAGGGCCGGGGTCATGTGGGCTTAGGATTAGTCGGCAAAGCTGGGATCACCTAATTTTTATTTATTTTTAAGTAACAAGGTTTGTCGTCAGATTTAATGTCACAACTGAAGAATGTAGTGTGATGTTCGAATCCCACTGAAAACATAAATGGAAAAAAAGTCCAGATGATGGAAGGTGTGGATTGGATCCTTGTGTCTGCATGAAGATTAGAATATAACCATTTGACTTATTGCACGACTTGCAGTTTACCTCTGCAATGGTTCTAGGGATGGGGTCCATGGACTTAAAAAATATATAACGTTTTATGCCTTTCTTTAGGGTATGTAACCAAAAATCCCATGTCTATTCATATGACATGCCTTTATTGGAGTTCGGGTTAGGCGCAGGGCGAAGGAAGAGTTTCTACATCTCCATCTCTTTACAAAATAGATCTATCATGCTAATGCGAGTGCGGACATGTAGTACTACTAGTCAATTTCAGAATTTAAGATTTTATTCTAAGAAGGGCCCTTATATTGATCAATTCCTTAAAGATTTTTATTGATCACCTAAGTATAAGAAAATGATTGAAATTAAACATTGGGTTTTATATATAATAAATGGTGGCATTTAGTTTGTTTATGCTAACCAAATTAATATTCCATTATTCTCTTTGTATTTATAGAGTGCACAACATCAACATGCCCCACCACGATTCTAAACGTTAACAAGAGATGGTGCCAAGTGGGAAAAGCTTCATAAAGTGTAAGCAAAGTTGCTTTCTTGGAAAAATATTACAATTCCTAAATTACAAAAACCAAAAACATGAACCCTTCACCCTACACATAATAAAACATATTCTCCCTATTAATATCTCATATAGTGAAAGCTAATGCCTAAGTGGCAAGCAGATATGGACTTATCATGGAAGGACCAGAGAAGTAGCTTCTAGCTTCTAGCTGCGCTGGCTAGAATTTAGTGCAGGTGAGTAATATTTTGTAGACAAAATGCAGGTGTTAAGAGTCACACATTGATAAAATAAGATAGAACATATGAGTTTATAAGGTAGTTAGACTAGTTAATTATATTGGTTAGATTTAATTTTTTAGTGTAGTTAGTAAGACAGCAGAAAAAAAAAAAGAAAAAAAAAAAAGGGCAGTTATAGTAGTTGTGATAGAGGTGTTAACCATCTGTTTATGGTTGGTTGATCTTCAGCCATTTTTGTTGCAGCACTGACCTTCTGCATACCCACTCCAAGTCTCCAACCTGCCTTGAAGCTTCCTTGTAAAGGATGGCTGCTAGATTACAACTGTTATACCATGGACCAGGATTTATATTACAGTATGGACAGAGGTGCAAAACAATATTCAGATTATGTATATGCAATTAACTTTTATATATCTTCAGTATCTGCAGTTAACATTGTACCTACAGTTAACATATTATGTACTTGTAGTTAATAAATTATGTACCTATTACAACTACTACAATTAAAGTATTATGTACCTGCAGACAACAGTTAAGATATTATATACATTCAATTAATAAATTATGTATCTGTAGTTAACTACCTTCAATTTATTTATAAGTACATAATCTGTTAATTGAAAGTACATAATATGTTAACTGCAAATACATAATCTAAATATCATTTTATACCAGGGTCCACAATATAAATTAAAGTAACTCTGGTCCATGATATAATTTGCCGCTAAATGATTGAAGTGCAACTTCTTGAATTGGGTCTCTCCTGGGTTCCTTTATCAATCAGCCTGGCCCTTTAAAAATTGGTATTGGGCCTATGTTTATGAACCTGGTATACTGCAATTATTATTGTGTGGACCATGGTTCATACAAGTTGTGTGGACCATATTTTGTCTATTATAAAATAATGTATATTCAGTACAAAAATAATGTACATTCAGTACAAAGATAATGTATATTGTATACAGAGGATATACATTATTTTTGTTCTGAGTGTACATTATATTGTATAATGTACATTCTATACAAAAATAATGTACATTTAGTACATTAAAAATGTACTTTTTGTTATGGTCCACATAACATTGTGTGGACCATGGTCCATACAATAATTTGCCGGTATACTGACCTACATTCTTTATGTCGGCAAATTATGGTCCACACAATGTTATGTGAACCATAATAAAAAGTACATTTTTAATATACTAAATGTATATTATTTTTGTATTGAATGTACATTATATAATATAATGTACACTCAGAACAAAAATAATGTATATCCCCTTAATACAATGTACATTACTTTTGTACTGAATGTATATTATTTTATAGTAGACAAAATATGGTCCACACAACTTGTATGGACCATGGTCCACATAATAATGATTGTTTTATGTCGGCAAATTATTGTGTGGACCGTGGTTCACATAGCTGTGTGGATCACGGTCCAAAATGATGTTGTTGAATTTTATGTGTTGGAATAATGTATATTATGTGTTAAAATAATGTACTTATGTGTTAGAATAATGTACATTATGTGTTATAATAATAAAATTTCTGGAGTAAGATAATGTATTTTATGTGTTAGAATAATGTACATTATGTTTTAAAATAATGTACATTAAGCTTTAGAATAATATACATTATGAATTATAAAAATGTATGTTATTGTGGATCGTGTGAAAAAAATTATGTGAAGCGACGTCGTTCTTGGACCGTGGTCCAAAATTGTGTGGACCACGGTCCACACAATAACTATTGCCTTATATCTTGCATCAACTTATAATAGTTCATATTGCAACTTGCAAGATAGACACTGACATAGGTTCATTTTTAGTGTATTGTAGCTTTATTTTGTTTTGCAGCATATAAAAAGTAAACTTACAGCATATTTAAAATGAATATTTATCAAAATATAATGCACTTATTAAAAATGAATATTTAATACACAAAAAATAATATATAATACACTAAAAATGAATATATATCAAGATCCACCATACAAATGGATCCCTGAGTCTCCGATATAATTTGTCTATTGACCTAGCAGAACTGCAGAAGTAACAAAAAGAGAAAAATAATATTTGTTATGTATTGTGATGTAAATTTAGTTGTTATTCATAATGTAAATTGATTCTTATTTGATATATTTCATTTTCGAACATATGCTATGATATGAAATTGAAGATAAAAAGTTAAATTGATAGTAATATTATGCTTTTAACATTTTATATTATTTTTAGAGTTAATTCCATTTTTGGTCCTAGATTTATAGGTGACAATCCATTTTTAGTCCTTTTCTTTCAAAACATTCACTTTTGGTCCTAGTATTATTGTGGTATGATCATTTTTTGTCATTTCGATCTTCAATTATGATTTTTTTTTCAAAAAGATAAATATAAAAAATATAACGGGTCAATGTACTTTATATTAAAAAGATCAAAATGTCCTTGTATTTAATAGCATTTTAACGATTTTGTTGATAGATGACCAAAAATGATCATGTCACAAGAATACTAAAATCAAAAAGGGATATTCTGATAAAAAGGACTACAAGTGGATTGTCACCTATAAATCTAGGACAAAAATGAAATTAACTCTTATTTTTAAAGCTTAACATTGCCTTAGTGCTTTGAGGTTAAATAGAAGAGTAGTCCTAATTCTTTTTCCAATTGATTTTGATGACATTATCTTTAAAAATAATTGTATTTTTAATTGTATAATTACATGAACATTTTAATATTTAATTTTCAAAACTAATAATTTGATCATATTTAATTTTTGAATATTTTAAAATAAATCAAATTTATTCTACTCTATATAATATAAAGTGCATAATAACACACCCCACCATGGTTCTAAATGTTTAGATGGTCCCAAATCCCAATTGAAAAAAAAAAAAAAAAAAAAATCCTTCTTGGGTGGGGTTGGTGTTCTTGGAAAAGTGCAATACTTTAGATTACAAAGGCAACAATACGCAAATCATAATTCATAAACCCCCCATCTCACTTGTTTTCAAAATGTTTTCACTTTATGTTAGTATCTCGTATAAAAGGCCAAAAGCGAATGCCTAAAGTGCAAGTAGTTAATTAGAAAAAAGTAGTTTTTGCTAGATTTTTTCAAGATATTTTATGCAAAATTATTGGAGCATGGATATATCTTCAATTTGTGTCACACATGAATGATAGTAATTAAATTAAATTAAATTGAACTAATAACGGTATGATTGTCATTTGATTTTACCAATGATTTATATTTTATAAACTAACAAATAAAGTTAAAGGTATATGGTTATATTTCGAATAGTTTTGAGAAGACACTTTTTTTTTTTTTTTTTGAAAGCTTTGAGAAGACACTTTAATATCTAAATTTGTCTTCAAAAATTTAGAATATATTGTTGAGTTATAATTGCATTAAATGTCTTAAGAAGTTGTAGTTAGAGTTGTTCCCAAAATGTTTAATTCCTAATTTCAAAGACTCCACGCCAACATAGCATCTCAACTGAACACAGAAGCTAGACTTGGACACAATGAGTCCCTTCACTTTGAGAGGTTAATTGCTCTCACACTGTCGTTGGTGAGACTCGATCCCAAATTATTGTTCATAAACTTCACACATGTGACCAACTGAGTTGCCCATGCGGACAAGTGGTAATTAGAGTGTTAAAGAGGAATTGTTATTGTTCATGATAATGTGAGCCCCGACAATCTTTTTGTATGTGATAGGATAATCTTCTAACACATTCGCCAATCGTTATGCCATGGAACCGTGTTCACCATCCATGGTGAACACGGTCCCAAACGGTAACGGTGC